ATATATAGAAGAGCCAAAACATGGCTCCTGCCATTCACTTATTCGACAAGCATTTATTAAGCAAGTACTCTGCACTAGGCCTGGGGGATTCAGTTACCAGGAAGACAATAAGTCTCATCCTCTGGAAGCTTACAGTTTAGTGTGGTGCTTACAGTCTTACATTCTTAAAATATTGAGCTAATGAAGGAAGTACCAGTAACAGAATCCTAGTTGAGAAACCCATTTAGAATAGGTCCCTTTTAAAAAAAAATAAGGCCTAGGTGACAAGACACAAAGGACAAAGGATAATTTTTCCTTTTTAAACTTATCATGAGTATTCCTTATCTAGGAAGGGAGTAAAGATTACTAAGGGGATGATGTGGGGTGAAGTTGGTCATAATAATCTATCACATTGAGCCTTATATTCCAGCAACTATGATCATTACTGTCTGTACATTATTTTTTTTATTTTGAGTTATAGAAAAATTGGAGGAGCATTCCAAAAAGCAATCCAAATAAGGAATTAGTGGTTGGGGAGAGGGGGAGATCCACAGACACAGGCAGAGTGCCCAGGGCTTTACTGCGCACTGATGCAGAAAGAAGGCTGGTAAGTGGAGGGAAACATAAAGCCTCAATTCTAACCTTGAAAGATTCTGAAACAAAGGCCTGATACGAAAGAGGGAGGTAAAATTTTCTGAGCAAGAGGGCAATTATAAAATATGGTAAGAAATGAAATCCTTCCTTGTCTGTAACTGTTGAAAATGGAAGATACCGAAGGTTAGGAGTTTTACTAGAGGGTTGTAATAATACAAGTATAATCACAGCTAAAATGAGTTCTTACTCTGTGCCAAGAATAATGCTAAGTATATTATAAACATTATTCAATTTTTCCAACAAATACATAGAATTAATTATTATTATCAAACCCCTTTTAAAATGAGGAAAAGGAAGCTTATAGAGCTTAACTGGCTCAAGTTCAATCTGCTAGTAAATGGACTCAGATCTGTCTGATTTTCCAAGCCTTTGTTCTTAATCACTATGCTGCACACATTATTACTATATAATGCCCCAACAGTATTGCAATTACCAAGAGTACAGCAGTAGAAATGCTAATAACCCCTAATATATGTATACAGTTGCATGGATTATAAAATACTTTTACCTGCATTTAGTACTGGATCCTCATAACTACCTGCTGACACAGAAGGGGGAGGTTATTAAACTTGGCTTCACAGGAAAAGGCAGACCTTGAGAGGGTAACTGCCTTTACTAACCTCATCTGTCCAACAGGTAATTGGTAGAGCTAAAACAAAAACCTCCATCTTCAGACTTTTTAATGTTCTTAAGCACTGTTGTTCACTCTACTTAGCATTCAAATGGATGTAGTGATTTTGTTCTCTACTATAACCTTAGTATCCAGAACTGTGCCTGACACATGGTAAGGGCTCAATAAATATTTGTTTAATAAAGTAATGAATATGAGATCCCATTAATATATAATAGTAGTGCTATTTGATATGCTGAATTATCAGATCCAACTTAATAATGATATGGCTGATTTAATCTATTTGGCTTTATGATGTAAATGGGCTAGCTCTCTCAGCAATATGTCAAATATGAGTTATGCTCAAGTACTCACTGGGAACAGCTGTAGGGTAAAAGGCACAGCAAGAGGGAACACACAGGCAAATGGGAAGGGATAAGGAAGTGGACAGGGGACCAGAGCATATCTATATACCTCAGATACCACCCATAAGAGGGTTATCACTCATTACTTGGTGGCAGTTATTGGAGGCCAAGAATCCAGAGAGACACAAAAACACTCTCTTTATAATACAGAGTTGACCCTTGAATAACACAGGTTTGAACTGAACAGGTCCAACTTAAAAAAGATTTTTTTTAGTATATATATCGGAAAATTTTGGGAGATTTATGACAATTTGAAAAACATTTTCTTTTCTCTAGCTTACTTTATTTAAGAATGTAGTACATAATATATATTACATATAAAATATGTGTTAATTGGCTATGCTATCAGTAAGGCTTCTGGTCAACAGTAGGCTGTTAGTAGTTGTGTTTTTGGGGGTCAAAAGTAGATTTTTGACTGTGTGTGGGGATCAGCATCCCTAAATTCTATATTGTTCAAAGGTCAACTGTAATTCAATTCATATGTATTAATTACAATACAGTAAAATTTATTTTTCACAGGTGACTAATTAGAACCATTTTTGTGGTTGGTACAATTAAAAATGAAAACTAGCTAATATTGTATAATATACTTAAAAATTGAGTTAAATATTACTTAAATATTTGAGTAAATAGTTAACATTTATTGAGCAATTTACTTTGCGCCACAAACTATACTAAATGCTTTATATATATTACTTCTTTTACTCTCTACAAGTCTAGGAGGTTTGGTGGTAACACCCTCAGGTATAGGTGAGGAAGCTGATGCTGAATAACATAACTGTCTCTGGGCAAGTGGATATGCTATTTAGCCTCTTTAGACCCCAGTCTTTTCTTCTGTAAAGTGAAAATCATAATACTGTCTCTCAGAAGGCTGGATGTAAATGCAAGATGGGACAACATACTGCAAACATCTAAGACAGTGCTTGACACAGTAGATACCAGATTCAATCATTCTCTTAAAATTCAGTTCCCAGGAGATGATATTTTGGTGGGAACATTCATAACTAATATTATAGAAAAAATTATTCTAAAAAATGACTCCCCTATTTCAGCCCCACCCCTCCAGAAAGATTTATATGACATTTCAGAAACACAAAAGAATTAGGAATTAAATACTAACATTTACTGAATAGCTACCATATGCCAGGTAAGGTATATATGTCTTACTTAATAATCCTGTGAGGTAGAAACTATCATTATCTCCCTACAGATAAATAAGGTGAAGATAAAAGAGGATATTCTAACTACCAAGGTCATGTGTCTAGGGCATGATTGTGCAAGGATGTGAACTGAAGTAGTATGGCTCTGGGATCCCTCCTTTTCACCACCATGCTAACTGCCTATTCTGTCTTAATTAGAATAGAAACACCTAGTGCTTGCAAAGCATGGCTAAACGGCTTTGGTGGTGAGTCCATATTTATCACCACAATCTTTTCAGATAGTAATTGGTCAATAAAGCTTAAAATTTTGAACTTGGATAGCTTTTGACTCAGCAATTGTACGTTGGGGGAATGTATAGAAATAAAAGCACTAGTACCTAGTGATTGACACATACGCACACGGATTATTTATTCTGATATTCTTTTACTGGTAAAACACTGGAAGATCATTCTGAATATTTGTCAATTGGAAAAAAATTTTAATAGAGCATATTAAAATATGGCCATTATATTAAGTGAAAAAGCAAGTTTTTTCTTTTTAATGTATAGAATCTATTCCTGAAGGATGTATAATATGTATCTCAAACTTCCTATCTGAAACAAACCTTTTAATTTCTGCCTCCCTGTTGAAGAATAACTTAGTCTGTTGAAGAATAGTAGTAAATGGCACTGCTATCCACCTAGTTGCTCAAGCCAAAAATCTAGGTTTTTCCATGGTTCTGTTTCTTCTCAGCTCCCACATTTAATCAATCAAGTCTGACTCAACATCCAAAACATCAACAATCAGCTCACTTTTCCTTGCTTCTAATACCAAGACACAATCTTCATCTAACAGCAATCAGGTTTCACCTGGGCTTCTGCCTTCCAGTGTATTACTTTTACCTCCCTGCAGTCCATTCTCTACCTAGCGGACTATACATCAAGATGCCTCATCCCCGTTAAAAGCCTTCCAGTGGCTTCTACTGCACATAGAATAAAACCCAAACTTCTTACTCTGACTCACAAAGCCCCCTGCCCCTTCTCGCTCATATCTACTACTCTCTAGGCTCCCAGCATGCATCCAGCTACATTCCTCAAACCCCCCCAGCTTATTCTCACTTGAGAGCTATTTTTGTCCCCTCTGCAGAGAAAGTTCTTCCCTCTTATTTTTGTGTCAGTCTCCTTCTTATAATTTTGATTTTGTTTAAATTTCACCTTGTCTAAGAGGCCAAAATAATCACAAGCCATATTCCCTATTTTAATTCTCTGCAAGGCACTGACCACTATTAATCATTCTTAGTTTATTTATTTGATAGCTAATTTCCTCATTAGAATGTAAGCTGAACCACAGGCTGCCTTATCTGATGTATTCATATCTTTATATCTCTGAGTAGTGCCTGACATACAATATGTACACAGTGAATACTTGTTGAATGAAAACAATGTATATTATATGATCAAATTTTTATGAAAAGATTCACTATTCATAGATAGCTATTTATTTTTGTTGCAGAGGCAAAGGAAAAAGCAGAAAGATACTAAATGGTAAATATTAATTTCCTTGGGGAAGTGGGGAAAGGAAAGCTAACTTTTTCTTCTGGTAACTGCATTATTTGATTAGTTTAAGGAGTTTATTTCTTTTTGGAACTAAAAAATAATTCAATGAATTAAAAAATGTGAAGAGAATGTAATGTTCCCTCAGCTGATTATATATCCTGCTATTTATCTAATGTTTGTCCATCTTTTTAATTCTAGAAGCTGACTGATATAACATGTACTAGTAAGTAATTTCTCCAATAATAGATGAAAGCAATTATTTAAAAATACTTGTAATCATAAGTATTAAGTTGTTTTGAAACCATAAACAGGTATGATTCAGTTATTTTAAAAAGTTTCATAATAAATTCTGAAATGCCCAATTAGAACAAATCTATCTAGAAAAAACCTTAAGGAGCTCTAAGGAAGGTAATACTTACACAGTTAAGTCCTAATGTGTTTAACATTGTTTTATATAACTTTATAACCATACCATAAATACTTTCTATTTTAATTAGGGAAATTTCCTTGTTAAATAAAGTCCATGAGTTTGGCACACCAGATACTAAAATACAAATACCAAAAACAAAATATTAGATTTGGGGAAAATGATCATGACAAATCTAATTTCTACCGTTGAAAGAGGGGCCATCTTACCTCAATAGAAGATGGGGAACTTGATGGTAATGGAAAGGGAGTAACAGCCATCTGATTGACTGCATCTTCATTTCTGTGGACATTAAAATAGGAAGACTCAGTACACAGTAAATGCTAAGTTAATGATTCAAACTATAATCATTTCCTTAGTTTTCAGTTGAAAATGTATGCACAACATCTTGGAATTAAAAATACATGCAAATAGCAATGCATTCATTTAAGGAGACTTCAACACACTACTTACTCCAAAGGACAGATCAACCAGACAGAAAATAAGTAAGGACATAGAGGCACTGAACAACACAGTAGAACAGATGGACCTAATAGACATCTATAGAACTCTACACCCAAAAGCAGCAGGATACACATGCTTCTCAACTGCACATGGAACATTTTTCAGAATAGACTACATACTAGGCCACAAAAAGAGCCTCAGTAAATTAAAAAAGATTGAAATTGTACCAACCAACTTCTCAGATAACAAAGGTATAAAACTAGAAATAAATTGTACAAGGAAAACAAAAGGCCTCACAAACACATGGAGGCTTAACAACATACTCCTAAATAATCAATGACCAAATTAAAACAGAGATCAAGCAATATATGGAGACACATGAAAATAACAGCACAACGACCCAACTTCTGTGGGACGCAGCAAAGGTTGCTCTAAGAGGAAAATATATAGCAATCCAGGCCTATTTAAAGAAGGAAGAACAATCCCAAATGAATAGTCTAAATTCACAATTATTGAAACTGGAGAAAGAAGAACAAATGAGGCCCAAAGTCAGAAGGAGGGACATAATAGAGATCAGAGAAGAAATAAATAAAATTGAGAAGAATAAAACAATAGAAAAAATTAATGAAAACAAAAGCTGGTTCTTTGAGAAAATAAATAAAATAGATAAACCCCTAGCCAGACTTATTAAGAAAAAAAGAGAATCTACACACATAAACAGAATCAGAAATGAGAAAGGAAAAATCACGACAGACACCACAGGCAAGGAAAACAAAAGCAATAATGAACAAGTGGGACTACATCAAACTAAAAAGCTTCTGTACAGCAAAGGACACCATCAGTAGAACAAAAAGGCATCCTATAGGAAGGGAGAATATATTCATAAATGGCATATCCGATAAGGGGTTGACATTCTAAATATACAAGGAGCTCACAAACCTCAACAAACAAAAAAGCAAATGATCCAATTAAAAACTGGGCAGACAATCTGAACAGACACTGCTCCAAAGAAGAAATTCAGATGGCCAGTAGGCACATGAAAAGATGCTCCACATTCCTAATCATTAGATAAAAGCAAATTAAAACCACAAGGAGATATCATCTCACACCAGTTAGGATGGCCACCATCCAAAAGACAAACAACAAATGTTGGCAAGGATGTGGAAAAAAGGGAACCCTCCTACACTGCTGGTGGGAACATAAATTCATTCAACCATTGTGGAAAGCAGTATGGAGGTTCCTCAAAAAAGCTCAAAATAGAAATACCATTTGATCCAGGAATTCCACTCCTACGTATTTACCTTAAGAATGCAGAAGCTCAGTTTGTAAAAGACATATGCACCCCTGTTTATCAGAGCTCTATTTACAATAGCCAAGAAATGGAAGCAACTGAAGTGTCTATCAGTAGATGAATGGATAAAGAAGATGTGGTACATATACACAATGGAATATTATTCAGCCATAAGAAGAAAACAAATCCTACCATTTGCAACAACATGGTTGGAGCTAGAGGGTATAATGCTCAGTGAAATAAGCCAGGTGGAGAAAGGTAAATATCAAATGATTTCACTCATCTGTGGAGTGTAAGAACAAAGCAAAAACTGAAGGAACAAAACAGCAGCAGACTCACAGAACCCAAGAATGGACTAACAGTTACCAAAGGGAAAGGGACTGGGGAGGATGGGTGGGAAGGGAGGGATAAGGGGAATAAGGGGCATTACAATTAGCACAAATAATGTAGGGGGTTGGGACACAGGGAAGGCAGTATATCACAGAGAAGACAAGTAGTGACTTTATAGAATCTTACTATGCTGATAGACAGTGACTGTAATGGGGTATGTGGTGGGGAGTTGATAATGGGGGAATCTAGTAACCACAATGTTGCTCATGTAATTGTATATTAATGATACCAAAGGAAAAAAAAAAAGGCTTTCCAGCTGTCTTCATTCCAGTCAGCAAGAAGAAAGGGGCTTACCTTTTTTAAGGAAACTTGTTGTATATTGTGCCTACCATAGTTGCTTAAACCCTTTGTCAAAGGTTATTTTCATGATCAAATGTACTTATATTCTGATGACCAAGTATCCTACTAAAAATTGGAAGTTCTGTTACTAGGAAAGGTGGGTAAATAGATACAGGGTTATAACTAGGAACTTCTGCCACATGTACCTTCTGCTACTTCCTGACACCAACCTGCCATTCTTGTCAGACACTCCTGTTGTCCATTAAAACAAACTTTAAAACACTCCAACCCACATTCGTCTCTGTCCTTTAGACTAGAGGAACTGTTGATTTAGCAATCAGGTACTTATTTTGTAACAGCCTTATTAATGTGGTCTTAATGATTACCGCATTATTTAAATTATCCTCCTGGTCAAATCCTCTCAGCTAGATCTAGAGAAGAAATTAAGCCCTGTATATCTTGCCTCCCAATTGCTGTTGCCTGGCATGTTGCCTGGCACATAGCACAACTTAATGACTGTGTTCTAGTTTACCTAATTGGCTGACAGCAATAACCTGGAGTATATCACATCTATTCCTTTATTAGTATATCACATTTATAATCCTTATTAGGGAAGGATTATGTGTCATATGTTATGAAGATTGCATCCCATCACAGTTGCATATATACAGACTGAAGAAGACAACACAATAATAAATGTGTTAAATGTCTAAAAAAAAAACAAATATATACTTGGTTTCAAGCATACAAAGCTATTAGGCACAAAAAGAGATGTATTACTCAATGGATGCTAAGATACAATTATTAGTGACAGAGAATGATGATGTTAGGAGTTAGCCAAATCCTGCTCAGTAAGTCTGGTGTTGCAGAGGATAATTCTGGAAAGGCATCAACTCTCAGCACTGCAGAGTATAAATTTTTCAAATGGGCATGTGTAACCTCTAGGCCCCATTAATGTCTACAGCATTTGGTTCTTTGAACTGGAAAGGTTCCCAGCCTCCTCACTTGGCTTCTAACTTTGTTCTGCCAAATGAAGGATGAATGGGATGTCTATGACAGGCCCTGCACTGGTGGACACCGTAAGGAGGAGTGACGGATGGTGAGAACAGAGGTCCAGATGGACAATGCTTTGTGGGTTACATTAATTCTACTCCTCGTCATCCTAACTGGAGCAGAGAAGGCGGGAGCTGAAACTCATAGCCAGGGTGACAGGCACGGAACAACTCCCAGAATATCACTTCTGATTATTTGGGCCTATTTCCACCACATTACTGGCAAATGGTAGGCAGTGGATCCATGGGAGATCTATCTTTTACTATTCATTCATGATGTATGACCAATATAATTATCTCAAGATTTATGTGGTTTTACTTTAGGTTTCACAATATAAACCAAGGAAGCTCACAAAAATGCTTCTTCCTGGTGTGCAAAGATCTAAGAATGTTCACAGATCTCTCTCTCTGTGTGACCAGTGTATATAGGCTAGCCACTACCTGATTTAGGAGGACACTCAGAATCCAACTCCATTTTCTTTTTCACTTCTCACCAATTAAAACAAAAAGGCCCATTGGTCCATGTCATTCCTGCTTTGGTGTTTTAATCATACCACTGCCTTTACCTGAAATGCCTTTATTAAATTTAAAATCCATCCACCCTAGTCTTCCCATGTGCGTTCAATAACCTCAACTAGGTGAATTATTCCCATAAACTCAAAGACTGACTATATATTGATGTCTTCCAAATTCACACAGTTCAACAGCATCTTTTTTTAAGCTTAGGATCTGCATATCCAACTCCTACTTTATATCATCACTAGATGTTTCACAGCCATCTCAAATAAAATGGAGCTCTTTATCCCACTCAGTGTCCAGAGGATTCCATGATCAATCTTCCTCACCTGAGTAAACATCAACAATATCTGCCCAGTTGTTCAACCAGGAACCTGGGAATCATTCTTGAAACCTGTCACCCCTTAGCTGTTAATCCAACTATCAAGAAGTCTTGCTGATTCTACCTTCAAAATGTATCTGGAGTTTTCCCACTTCTTTCCATCCTGTCCTTGTGCAAGCTATCATCATTTCACACTGGAATTAAGGTAACATCAACCTATCTGGTTTCCCTACATACAGTCTTCATCCTCTCTCCAACCCATTCTTCACCCAGCAGTTATTACCATTCTAACACAGCTTAAAATTCTCCGATGGCTTCTTATTGCACTTAGGATCAAATCCAAAATTGTTAGGGAGGCTATAAGGCCTGGAGCACCCTGTCCCCAGTCACGGCCGCTGGGCTCCTCTCGTTGTCTCCCGCCCACTCTGCCTCAGCCCACCTACACAGGCTTTCTTTCCACTTCTTGGCTAAACCAAGCTCCACCTACCTCGGACCTTCTCTCACCCTGTGATCTCCTGCTCTGCATGCCTGTCACCCCAATTCTTTGCCTGATTTATTCCCACTTCTTCTTCATAGTTCACCATTAATGTTATTTCCTGAAACAAGCCTTTCAGGACGAACATTATATGCTTGTAACGTCCTATTCAATTATAGAAGTACCATTCCTTTCATAATTTACCTGATTTATAGGTATATTTGCTTCAAATCTGTCTTCCCACCTAGATGGTAAGCATCCAAGGATAGGACTCACGTCCTTCCTACTCTTCATTACATCATCTGGGCAAACACTGTGTCTGGCAAACAGTTTGTAGTTATAGTGATTTTTTTTTTAATATAAAGATCACTCACTTCAATAGGAAAACAGAAGTAGGAATTTCAGGGCCAGAATACCACTAACTCGCTATGCGATTTGGGGGAAATCACTTTTAAGACTTTCAGTTTCCTGATCTCTTATGTGCATAGGTTGAATTGTATGAATCCTAAGCTG